GCTCCGTCAAGGGGTGTGTGTCTCAGAACGACTTTTAGGCCAAAAATTCTGGGGAGGAGATGCTTAATGCTTATAGATGAGACAGAGGATTAGTGAAAAACCTTTACTAAGACCACTTACAGGGGTGCCTGGGTTAAGAGTCGTCTGCCTGTGGTTAAGGTGGTGATTCTGGGGTTGAGCCCCACATCGGGCTTCCTGCTCAGCAGGGAGTCTGCTTCTCCCTCTCCCTCCCTCTCTCGCAAAAAAAAAAAAAAAAAAAAAAAGAACCAGATACTGGTGAGGCATAGAACTAGCAGACTTACTTTCTGCCTTGAGATAAAGCTGCTAGATCTGAACAATTAGTAAAGTGGTGTTTTATGATCAAATGCCTTCTATGAGTAATAAAGGATGCTTTTAAGAATACAAAATAAAGAGCAGGAAGGGAAAAATGAGGGGGGGAATCGGAGAGGAAGACGAACCATGAGAGACTATGGACTCCGAGAAACAAACTGAGGGTTCTAGAGGGGAGGGTGGTGGGGGGATGGATTAGCCTGGTGATGGGTATTAAGGAGGGCACGTATTGAATGGAGCACTGGGTGTTATACGCAAACAATGAGTCATGGAACACTACATCAAAAACTAATAATGTAATGTATGGTGATTAACATAATAAAACAAAACTTAAAAAAAAGAATACAAAATAAACAAAAATTTTAAATACCATTTATATAAATATAATTAAGACTATACTGGGGCTCCTGGGTGGTTCATTCGTTAAGTGTCTGCCTTTGGCTCAGGTCATGATCCCAGGGTCCTGGGATGGAGCCCCGCATCAGGCTCCCTTGCTCTTCAGGAAGCCTATTCTCCCTCTCCCACTCCCCCTGCTTGTGTTCCCTCTCTTGCTGTGTCTCTGTCAAAAAAAATAAATCTTAAAAAAAAAAAAGACTAAAGTATACTTAATATAAAATATATAGTAACTATATTATAAAATGTTAATATATATTTTATAAAATATCAAAATATATTAAGTATAAGCATATGAATATTTTATAAATATTATATAATACATAATACAAATATACATTCAGGGTACCAAGTTAACGTCTTTTCTATCATGCTTTAATATCTAGGTTAAAAGCACTGGAAATTAAGTTCTTTCTAAAGAATCTAGAGTACAGGTCAAACTCCACAGGATGCTATAGAGTTCTAGCCCTGGACCACCTTTCCTCTCATTTCCTACAAATCCTTAGACCCGAGACATACCAATTTACACCCTGTAGGATGACTAAAACAGCAAGCTTTGCAGTCCAACAGACATGTGTCTCAATCCCAGCCATGCTATTTACCAGCATTGACCAACGGTGCCAGGCAGGAGTGAAGATTTGGTAATTTATTCAATAATTCATTTTGACTAAAAGCACAAGCACATACATGCCTATTCACTGTACCATTCCTGGTTTTATCTGTACCTGGACAATTCTCTATTCCAATCTCCAGTGCAGACATATGTACACACTTCCTACTGAACTGTTGATTCTTTCAATGGTGAAGTGCTCAATAATCCCTCTTTTTCCATGTATCTTTAGGCAGTGTTGATCACTCCAATTTGTGTGCCTCTACATCAACTTTTACATGATACTTTTTTCCCTTTTTTAAAAAAATCATCCTTATTAAATTATAATTTACATACAACAGAATGTTCCCGATGTAAGTGTAAATTTTGATGAATTTTGACAAGTTTATATATTCATGTAAAAACCACTATAATCAAAATTTAGAGCCTATCAATCACCCAAAGGATTCTGTTACACCTGTTCCCTCTTAGTCAATCTCCATTGCCTAACCCCAGGCAACAAGTGCTAAGCTTTCTGTCAATATAGATCAGAACCATCATCTCCAGAATTTCACATAAATGGATTCATACAGTTTACACTGTGTCTGTTGCCTTTTGTTCAGCATATTTTTTGTAAACTGTTTTATTAAGGCTTAATTTATATATAAATTAATCCATTTAAAATGCTCAATTTGATGAGTTTTAACAGCTGTATACACCCAAGCAACAACCACTACAATCAAGACATAAAACATTTTTATCACCTCCAGAAGATTCCTCATGCCATCCATCCTTTCACACATGAATATACACTTTTGTATTTGGCTTCTGTGACTTAGCAAGATTTCAAATTTATCCATGTTGTTGTGCCTATCAAGAGTAAATTCCTTTGCACTGCTGAGTATTTATTCTGTAATATGGAACTACCACATTTTGCTTATCCATTCACCCATTGATGGTTATTGGGGCTGTTCCAGTTAGGGGCTACTGGAAAGAAAGGTGGCATGAGTATTAGTGTATCAGTCTTAGGAGTAGATGTTTTCATTTCTCTTTTATAAATAACTAGGATTTGAATAGCTGAGTAGTAGTAAGGTATGTAAATATATAAAACTCCTTAAGAAACAGCCAAACTGTTTACCAAAGTGGTTACACCACTATAAAATATGCTAGGAATATCTGAGAATTCCAGTTACTCCATATCCTTACCAGCCCTTGGGAGCACCACAATTTTTTTTTAAGATTTTATTTATTCATTTGATGGAGAGAGAGCACAGGTGGGGGGTGGGGAGAAACAGGCTCCCCACTGAGCAGGGCTCAATCCCAGGACCCTGGGATCATGACCTGAGACAAAGGCAGCCACTTAATCGACTAATCTACCCAGGTGCCCAAGTGCCAGAGATTTAAATTATATTCACTCTAATGGGTGTGTATCTCATTATAGTTTTAATTTGAATTTCCATGATGACAATTTTAAGCTTCTCTGTGTGTGCTCATTAGCCATTTATTTGTCTTTTAAATATTTAGCTGATTTTTAGGGACTTCTGGGTGGCTCAGCACGTTAAGCGTCTGCCTTCGGCTCAGGTCATGATCTCAGGGTCCTGGGATGGAGCCCCACATCATGCTCCTTGCTCAGCAGTGAACCTGCTTCTCTCTCAGCCTGCTGCTCTCCCTGCTTGTGCACTCTCTCACTCTCTCTCTCTGACAAATAAAATCCTTTAAGTAAATAAACAAATAAATATTTAGCTGATTTTTAAATTTTTTTGGTTGTCTTACTGAGCTGTATAGTTCCTTTTTCAGATGTATTAGAAGTATTTTTTTTCCCAGTCTGTGCGCTTGCCTTCTATTTCTTAACGATCTTTCAAAAATTAAGTGTTTAATTTTGGTCAAGTCCAACTTAGCAAAAAAATTTTTTAAAGTTTATGGCTCAAGTTTTCTGCATCCTAAAAAGCCTTTACCTTTTCTTTCCCAAAATTGTGAAAACTTCCTATGTTTTCTTATATAAGTTTTCCATTTTAAGAGGGAACTAGGGGAGTGGTGGTGGGGAGAGGGAAAGATCTTAAGCAAGCTCCACACCCAGCACCGAGCCAATGCAGGGCTCGATCTCATGACCCGAGTCAAAATCAAGAGGTCGACGCTTAACCTACTGAGCCACCCAGGCGCCCCTCTTATGCACGTTTTAGAACATGAGATCCTGTTGAGGTCTAAGATGGATTTCAAGTTAATTTTTGTACATGGTTTGTTGTGTTTTTTCCCCCTTTTCTTTTTTAAAATTTTTAAAAATTCTTTGTTTTTTAACAAACCCTTGTGTCGAAGGCTGAATTTCAATAAATTGCAGCAAGGGAGCTGCTCTGCTACATACAAACCCCAACCCAGAAGCAGGTCGTCTACGAATGGTTTGGCACCAGGTTCCCCACGAACATGCGCTGCATCACAGGTGACGAGGCGGCCCCCTTTCCTGGGACAGGGGCTCTCCGCACCAGACCCCAATCATGACACGCGGAGGCCCGCCGGCAGGGAGGCAGGGGACCCACTATCCGAGGCCAACAAAGGCTCTGTGGCACTGCCTTATCGGTCTGCCTGGGCAGGATTCTGACTTAGAGGCATTCAGTCATAATCCCACAGATGGTAGCTTCGCCCCATTGGCTCCTCAGCCAAGCACATATGAGATCAATTTTTTTAATGTGGGTCTGCAGTTGTTCTGGTACCATTTCTTGGAAAGATTATTCTTTCTCCCACTGAACTGCTCTGTCACCTTCGTGAAAAACTTACTATATAACCACTCATGTACTTCTGGATTCTATTCTATTCTGTTGATTTACAATTCTATCCTAGGCCAAAAGTACAATGTCTGGATTTCTCTAGTTTTTTAGTAAGGAGGACTTATTATCTGACTTCAAGTTTTATCTTTTTCAAAATTGTTAAAGCTCTCCTTTGCCTTTCCATAAAAATTTATAATTCGCTTGTCAGTTTCTGGGGGGAAAAAACCTACTAGAATTTTAATTTGAATCTACAGATCAACTGAAAACTGACATCTAAACATTACTGAGTCTTCCAAGCTATTATCATGATCTCCCCATTTCTTAAGGTACACTTACTGTCTCTCAGCAACATTTTATAATTTTCAGTATACAGAACTTTAATATGCTTTGTAAAATTTATTTCTAAACAGTTCATGTTCAGAGATACTTATAATGGTATTTTAAAGTTTCTGTAATTTTCATTTCTAAAAGACAGAAAATGCAACTGAATTTTTAACATTAATCTTGTACCTAATTTACATATTATTTTCAACAGGTTTTTTTTAAGATCCCTTAGGATAGGGGCACCTGGGTGGCTCAGGTGGTTAAGGGTCTGCCTTTGGTTCAGGTCATGACCCTGGGGTCCTGGGATCAAGCCCCGTATCAGGCTCCCTGCTCCCTGTAGATTTCTCAATGCACCTATAACTTACCTTTCTAGGCTCTTCCTATCCCTGCCTACTCAACAGAATCCCCTTTGAGATACTCTAAAATGAGGTGCTCAGGCTCTATGTAATCTTAATCGACCAAAATAGAATCTTTGGGGAGAAAGGACCAGGTATCTGCATTTTTAAAAAGCTCCTCTATGGGCATAAAGCTCCTCTACGGCCAGCCAGGCTGAGAACTATGAAACAGGCAGGGAACTATGAAGGTTTAAAAAAAAAAAAAAATACCTTGATCTGTTGTCTCCGTAGCATGGCAAGTTCTCTCATGTCTCGGAATGGCTGTAGTAAATACTGATATAGTTCAGTTGTGGCTTCTGCAAGGCTGCTATAGGCTTCATCCTCCATCTGATACAAGTCCAGAAGCTCAACCATGCTTTCTGTATTCTTGTGCTTATCCAAAAGCTATGGAACAAGAAAATTTTATTACAAAGAATCTGATTATAATAGCCTATAAATACTTCCTTTTAACTCCCTCCCTTATCCTCTTCGGATGTTAGAATACTGAAACACAGAAGGAATGAAAATCACTGAATGCTTTTCATCATTCACCTCCATGCTGAGATGTCTTACTACTCAAGACCTGCTTGAATCATCCCTTTCAAACTGCTCTCATCATATTATTCTTGTTCTGTGTATTTTCTGGGACTCCATACTATCTATCTGTCTAGACTTAAGTCCTTAAATATATTTTCCCAAGTATCTTGTAGCTTTCTCTGTATTTGTAAAAAAAATTTTTCATTGCTAATATACAAAGTAGTTAACAACTCTTACCAATATTATTTTACTAATTTTCCCAAATCTTCTTGCCACTCCCCTCCTCCTCCCAGTTTGGAACATTCCCACATTAACTTTCAACTCCCACTTATCACATCCCTCAAAATCTAGGTTAATAAAAACCTCAACTGTACTAAAGAGTTTAAGACTGACTACAATAGATTTTTATAACTATTACTTGCACTCCTTGGTACTCGTGTATGTGTGTGTGTATGTTTTCATTCATTCCTCAACAAATATGGACATCTAACACATGTTAGACACTGGGCTAAAAGCTGGGCATACAAAAACATGGGTGCTCTCTTCAGAAGCTTACAGTGTAGTAAATAAACAAACTAAATAACTAAAACTAAGTAAATTTTTAAAAAATTACAAACTGGGGCACCTGGGTGGCTCAGTTGGTTAAGCAACTGCCTTCAGCTCAGGTCATGATCCTGGAGTCCTGGGATGGAGTCCCGCACCGGGCTCCCTGCTCAGCAGGGCGTCTGCTTCTCCCTCTGACCCTCCCCCCTCTCATGCTCTCTCTCTCTCATTCTCTCTCTCAAATAAATAAAATCTTTAGAAAATAAAAATAAAAAAATAAAAATTACAAACTGTCACAGTCTCATCTCAAAGGCACAAAATTCTGCTTTTCATTCCATACCTAAAGTTTTCACTACTATCTTCCTCCCCAACTTTTTGCTTTAGTTACCACGTTGTGCTATACATATTATACTCAATTTAGAGTCCAAATTCACTTCCAGACCAGATTCTTACCACTAAATGTAGCAACATCTACGCATTAGTCTTTTGCCTACTATGTCATTAACAATCATGATGGATCAGATAATCTAAAGTGTTTTTATGACAAAGAAGTACTATATAAATACTTGTTATTCTGTTAATATTGCAATTCCAACTTTCACTGCTAACATGGAGAATTTCCACTATCCAGTATCAGCTGAATAGTTCCTCTTAGACCAATTCTCCCATTGATGGTGACTATAAACGCTGAGCAAAATATTACACTACTACCTGAAGGCACTGTAAAGTGACCAGAAATAAAAACTGGAGAGAACATCAATACTTAGAAGATAGGAAAACCCTAAGTGAGTTTTTATTCACAGCATTTGGCCTGAGGGGAGGCCCCAGTGGCTGCCAGAGCAGAGAAGTTTGGCTGAAACAGAAAACTACAGTTTTGGTGCTTGAAGAATCAGAGGACAGAGTTCAAGACAACCATAGCACCTAGAAAAGGGGGTAAATGCTGAAATGGAGAAAGCCAAAGGAGGAAATCCCAAATTGGTATATAAACTCTACTCAAGAGGCACCTGGGTGGCTCAGCTGGTCTTAAGCGGCTGCCTTCGGCTCAGGTCATGATGTCAGGGTCCTGGGATGGAGCCCCCAGTTGGGCTCCATGCTCAGCAGGGAGTCTGATTCTCCCTCTGCAACGCCCCCCCCCCGACTTGTGTGCTCTCTCTCTCAAACAAATAAAAATTAAAAATAAATAAATAAATAAACTCTACTCAAATTTCAGGCTGATTACCAGAACTATGTATATACAAGATAGGCTGTGGGCAAAGCAGCTAACGAAAAAAATGTAATATTTTAGCTGCACTTCTGTGAAAGATGAGTAGAGTTTGCAGTTGAACCAATTAAATTAAGTATCTGCTAAAACAAATCTACTAAAAAAAAAAATCAACATTCTCTGGAGAAATATAACACACAACAGAGGCTCTGCAAGGTACCATTTATAATGTCCAGAATACAATCCAAATTTAGCAGACCTATAAAGAAATAGGAAAACAAAACAATGCTCAAAAAGCAATTAAATGGAGAACTGTAAGATGAGATACTTTCGATTTAGCACAGATTTTAATTCTAAATTTTTTTAACGATTTTATTTATTTATTTGATAGAACGAGCACACAAGCAGGGGGAGCAGCAGAGGGAGCAAGAGAAGCAGGCTCTTCGCTGAGCAGGGAGCCCGCTGTGGGGCTTGATCCCAGGACCCTGGGATCATGACCTGAGCTGAAGGCAGACACTCAACTGACTGAGCCACCCAAGAGCCCCTCAATTTAGCGAAGATTTTAAAGCCACTATTATAAAATGCTAATGGATGCAATTTGCTCGTGAGAATAAAAATCTCAAAGGAGAAATAATTTTTAAAAATATTTTATTTATTTGAGAGAGAGCAAGTGAGCATGAGGGGGGGGCTTAGGGGCTTGATTCCATGGCCCCAAGATCTTGACCTGAGCCAAAGTCAGCTGCTTAACCGACTGAACCACCCAGGCACCCCTAAAGGACATTCTAGAACTAAAAAATATAGTGTCTAAAATAGTCCTAGGTCACAGACACACTAAGAGGTTAAAAGATTAAAAAAGTAATCTTAAGTCTATGATTAGCACATCCTATTCCCCTACTTCCTTGCTGTTGCATCAGCAGAGCTCCTGTATAAAAGAATGAAACTGAAAAAAACTTCATTTTTTTAAGATTTTAAGAAGTAACTAGGAAAATCCAAAACACCACGGGAGACAAAACCAAAGACACCAGAGGAAATCCCAGCCTCTGCCACCTATAGCAATTGCCTAGAGTAACACAGATGAGTCTCCTCTAGGTGGATAACAACCTCAGTCTAAAGGCATATTTCTCTCAGCTCCTTTTGCCTAGTACCATCATGTCCAGCTTTGAAAAAAAATTACAAGGCATATTAAAAGCACAGTTTGAAGAGACAGCAAGCATCAGAACCATACTCAGGTAAAGCAGGGATATGCGAATTATTAGACCAGGAATTTTAATACAGTAAGTGATCTTTGGGTGCCTGGGTGCCTCAACAAGTTGAGTGACCAACTCTTGGTTTTGGCTCATACCATGATCTCATGGGTCGTGGTATCTCATGGGTGGTGGTATCGAGCTCCATGCTCAGCAGGGGAGTCAGCGTGAAGGCTCTCTCCCTCTGCCCCTCCCCCCACTCCTGCTTGCACCTCTCTCACACACACACACACTCTCTCTCTCAAATACACAAATAAATCTTTTTTAAATTATGCTAAGGAATCTAATGGAAAAAGCAGACAACATGCAAGAACGAATGTATATAACATAAGCAGAGAGTTGGAAATACTAGGAATCAAAAGGAAATGCTATAAATCAAAACCACTAAAATGCAAAAATGCCTTCAATAGGCTTATTATTAGGCTGGACAAAACAACAACAAAACAATCCAGCAAATGAGCTTGAAGAAATGTCAGTAGAAACTTCCAAAACTGAAAGGCAAAAACAAAAAAAATACTTGAAAAAAACAAGATATCCAAGAAGCATGGGACAATGAGTAAGGAAAAATTTATAATTTATATTTTATAATTTTATAAATTATTTTATAACTTATATCAGACTTCTCTTAAGGAACCATGCAAACAAGAGAAGTAGAGTGAAATAATTAAGAGTTCAGGGGTCCCTGGTTGGCTAAGTCAGAAGTTGTGATCTTGAAGTTGTGAGTTGAAGCCCCACATTGGGTGTAAAGATTACTACCAAAAAAAAAAAAACCTTAAAAAAAAAGTTAAAAATCCATATACCTAGAATTCTGTATTCAGTGAAATTACCTTCAAAATTGAATGAGAAATAAAAGAGATCCTCAGCAAACATAAATTGAGGGAACCTGTCTTGCAAGAAATATTAAAAGATTGTCAGAAAGAAGGAAAATTATATAGGTCAGAAACTTGGATCTAGATAAAGAAAGGAAGAATGTTAGACAAGAATAAAAGTAAAATAACATCTTTTCCTATTATTCTTAACAGATCTAACAGCTACTAGTTTACTCAAAATAGGAGTCACAATACATCCAGTGATTACACCTTACAGATTAGTAAAGTAAATGACAGCAAGGTTACAAGGGACAGGAGGGAAGAACTGGGAATACCTTGTTATAGGGTACTTGTACTACAGGTAAAGTAGAACAGCATGATTTGAAAGAAAGGTTGGTTAGTATTGCAAGCCTGTTAGCGCAAACTTGAGTGCAACCACTAAAAAAAAGTTTTAAAAGTATCACAGACATGCTAAATGAGGATGTTATACTGAGATAAAAACAGAATATAAGATGCTCAATTAATACCAGAAGGCCAAAAGAGTGGAAAGCAAAAAGGACAAAAACAACAGGACAATCAAAAGAAAATAGTAACAGATATGGTAGGTATTACTCCAACTGTACCAATTATCACTTTAAACATCAATGGCTGAAATACACCTATTAAAAGAGACTGTCAGGGTGAACATAAAAACAAGATCCAACTGTATGTTGTCTAAAAGAAACTCACTTTAAATACAGACACAGATGGGTTAAAGTGGGTTAAAGTGGTAAAGACATACTATGCTAACACTAGATCAAAAGAAAGCTGCAGTAGCTATATTACTTTCAAAAGCAGACTTCAGAACAACAAAAATTATCAGAGAAAATTATAAAATAGTTAATTCTCCAAGACATAATAATCCTTAATGTGTATATGCCCAAAAACATAACACCAAAATACCCAAGTTAAAAATGGATACAACTACAAGGAGAAAAGGAGTCCACTATGACAGTTGGAGACATCAAGATCCCTTATCAGTAACAGACAGATCCAACAGGCAGAAAATCAAAAAAGATATAGCTGAACTCA